CAGGCATTCAACATCTTTTCCCAGAATCCCCCTGCTTGTTAGTCCAGGGCTGCATGTAAGTGAGGGCCCCAAGCTTCCTCAGACCGCCCCGACCTCCTCCTCTTCCAACTGCTGCCTCTCCGGCGTCTTCTCACTCGAGCCCCCTTTGTCGCAGGTCCGCTACGTCTCCGACTTCTTCAAGCCGAGACCGCTGGCACCGTGCACCGAAAAGGAACTTGGGCGTAAACCCAGCATCCCCCTGCCGCTGAGTGAGTCAGAGTGTAACCACTGCAACTACCGGGTTCCTGCGTGAACGGGGCAATTTTGAATTGTTCTGATCTGAGCGGCAAACACATACCCGGCTTTTAGCTGGCGGCTCTTGCTCCCCGCCTTGCTACGTGCCTTTTGGACTTGTCCGACGAGGAGGAAACACAGCAGGACATTTTTCATGTTGTTGTTCTTTTGTACTTGTTTTTAAACCATGGTTTTGTACGATGCCCGATGCTACTGCACCACGCGTTTGTCACTTGGGAATGCCCGCCTCACCGCCCCGTAAGCCAAGGTCCAGGAGAGAATCCGAACGTTTTCCCACGTTGGGTCTGTGGTTAAGGACCTTCTGGACACACCCTCCCCTTGTGGGGTAAATAGCCCCCCTGTTTAATGTCCTCTTTTGGTTTGAACTTCGCTCTTGCACCTTTAATACCAGCTTGCTTTGCAAACGTTAGTGGGTATCTGATCATTTTCTCTCCCCAGAACCGTGGAAGGACTCACCCGTGGCCAAGTGAAGATCCAAAAGTAGGTAGGGTGTTTTTAGCACCCTTTGTTTTCATTTTCCTGGTATGTGGGTACCCTTCTTAGGAGCCCAATGGGGATCCATTGGGGGGCCCGTGCCAGGATGCAGACAAACCCTCTGAAATGAGGTTTCATCTGGGAGAACTCCCAGCCAGTTGCTCTGTAGGAAGCAAATTGTGGTCCTTGTCTTAAAATGGAGTGCGGTGGGGGATACCGGAAGAAACTCTGGGATTGGATGTGAATGATGATGATTAAACTGCTAAACGGGGGGTCCTACCTCTCCGATACCAACCAAAGTTTCTGTACCGGTGGATTTTTGTTTTCCAGTTGGTAAAATTGAGAAAAATTCAATAAATCGAAATGGACTTTTTAAGTAACTACGGACATCTTTTTATTATTTCTTGCTGCTGCTGCTGCTGCTGCTGCTGCTGCTGCTGCTGCTGCTGCTGATAATATTTTCCCCAAAGCTTTGAAGTTCGAAATTCTAGCCCTGTGGATGGGAAAACTCCAGATTACGGGCTTTTAGTGCTACGCCAAGAGAGAATAAAAGCACTTCAGCGATTTTAACAGCATGCATTTCTACTTGGAGGTTAACGGTTTGGGCTTGAATGCGTGTATTTCCTGCCCACGGTGGTGAGGAATGTGGATTGAAGGGGCACGGTGTTTTGATCAAGTTTTGACCCTTTCAAGGCTTGGCCCAAGCAACTCTCATTCAGGTGGGTTATTATGAAGCCAGGTGCATCCAGGAAGACCAGTACAAATTTCAAACCATTTCCTGCCCACCAGCCTTTCAAAAACCCAAGGGCAGTTCCCCTTGTTTAGGGAAAGAATGTCTTCTAAAATAGGAGGCCTTCTTAACCAGCAGGAAAAAAAGAGAATAATGCCTTGTTTTCCCCAGGCAGGGAGTTCCACAGGTAGCAGCTACTGAAACGTTTCTTTCATCATGTCTCTTTCGTTTACTGACATGTATATGCTGCCCTGCTCAAAAGACTTTAAGCCTTTTCAGACGTGTGGACTTCAAATCCCAGAATTCCACAGCCAGCATGGCCCTGATGGGAATTCTGGGAGTTGAAGTCCACATACATGGAAGTTGTCAAAGCTGGGAAACACTGTTCTAAGCCAGAAAAACAATTCACCCAAAAATAAAAATCATCACTAACCAACAATAAAAAGCATGATGCTAAAAAACAACAACAGAGGAACAGCAGCCTCAAATATTTTCCCCTATCCCTGGAAACACAGCAGAGGAGCAACGTCTGTCTGTTTTAAGGGAGCAGGCAGATTTTTACTGATTTATATCCACCCTTATTTTGTGCAAACACAAGGCCCGCTCCTCTTATTTTCCCCACAGCAACAACCCTGTGAGGTGGCTTGGGCTGAGCGGAAGCGTCTGGCCCAACATCACTCAGCTGGCGTGTTGTGCCAGGATATGAAAAAGAAAAGCCGTTTCAACGGTATTCTGTGTTTTAGCCAACAATCTTTTCTGTTTCCTAAGCAAGCTGTTTGGCTCTGGTATTCTTGGAAACGAAAACGTAGGCTGGAAGATGAGGCCTTGCGCTGTGCCAGCTTTCGGTTAAAAAAACCAAAAAAAGCTTTAAACAGAGGGAAAAAAGGGTGGCACAGATGCCAAAGGAGACGTCTGTGAGCATACTGGCACTCCGTGGTGCCACACGGGAGACGACAGACATAGGAAATCTGATATATTAATTCAGCTTCTGCACATTATTGATAGCGCATTTCTGGGTTAATATACCTCGGATAGCGATTTGCTCTGGGGGTGCTGGGGGTTTTGTTGCGGCTGTACGTGGTTCTGATGTTTTCGTGGTGGGTTTGCGAGCCCCCCAGGTTGCGGCCCATAAGATGGGCAGTCATCTAAGTCTTTTCAATAAATAAATCCAATTTTCCTGCCCGTTCCGTGCTCAGCATTAGCATGGGAAGCTGATCAGGGCGACTTACACTATTTATTGTTCTGTAGCAAAACAGATTTCAGCTTCAGAAATATTTCAGCAGTTAAAGGAGTGATCGAAATGGGGCCAGAGGGGGAGATTTTTTTTTTATTCATCTTCTAGCCTCCAGTGCTATTTTTTCCTTCAGCTCCTCGCTATACATTTTAACTTGTTCTGCTGTGCTTTTTTTCCCCTTTCTTTTAATCCACATCAGCATTGAAGAATGGCTGATTCAGGCCCTTTCTTGCTATTTGCAACGGGTCTTTGGGAACATCTTTTTGCTGTTTCCTTTTTTTTTTTTCCTGCCAGCGGTCTATCATCTTTTGGTTAATAGAGATGTTTTGTTTATGACGTGCTTTTATTTTCCATAGTTTTTTTTTACTACAAACACCTTGGAAAGGAGGTTTCGGAGGGTGGTGCAACTGGAAGTACCGATTGCATTGATTTATTATGTATTCTATTCTTGATATCCTTCTTGTTCCAGTATTAAAAATGTTCAGGTAAGGCCAAGGTAAAACGACTAAAATTGAAAGCAAAACAGCACAGCATAGGCGTTAAAAGAACACCTCCGTAAAACAGAGAACTAAACACTGTCCAGGAGATAAAACAGGTTTGCAGCCAGCAGAAAGCACTATTTTAATTTCACTTGGGGAGTTTCAAAGACTAAGAGTGCATCCTTAGAAGGGGGTCTCTTTTTGCACCCCTCCCTGGGATGTTAGCAAAACAAAATGGGTAACTCTCTTCCATCCTGGTTAAAATGGGGGATGCAAGATCTGAATGCCAATTTTTGGCTCAAGTCTGCTGCTGAACCTTCAAGAGAGAAATCTATCCTACATTTCTTACTTATTTGTGGATTGGCCCTGTATACCATTGAATTTGTCAAGGACCTCCAGTGGTTTACAACTGACGGTCAAAACATCCCTAGAACAATCGGGCAATTAAAATAGCCACAGGAGGGAAAACTGAAGTTTTTGAACATAATATCAGAGTGCTGCCTTTTGTACCCACTGTAGTTTCCAAGCAGTCTTCAAGGGCAGCCCCACACACAGCACATTGAAGTAGTCTAGGCAGGCTGTGATGATGTAATGGGAAGGACCTTGGGAGACAGGGGGAAGAGCTGCAGACTAGGCAACAGATAAGCGTCAGCTGAGCCCACAAAAGGAATGGGGGTGGGGCAAGCGTCCCAGAAGAGACCCTCCCTAGTTTCTTGGACTGTAAAGGCGAGGGGGAGAGATATCCTTTCAGACTTGCAAGATTCTGTCCATGTAACTTTACAATCAACCTAGAGCTAGTACTTCCAGGTGTGCTTCTTGTCTGGACTACCCCGCAAGGCTGACAGATGAGGGCATGAAAGTGCAGCTTCCAAATCTTGCCTTGTGTTGTGCGTGTAAAGTCATCTCGGGGAATTCTCAACCTCTAGGTGGAAGACATCTAGAGAAATGTAAAATGGACCTTTCCTAGGGCATCTAAGGCAGTATTTCTCAACCTTGTCAACTTTAAGATGTGTGGACTTCAACTCCCAGAATTCCCCAGCCAGCCATGCAACCCACAGAGCAGAGGCATAACGTGCGTCGTTCTAGAACAGTGATGGTGAACCTGTGACGCGTGTCAAAGGTGACACGCCACGTTTTGGGTGACGCCAGGGTTCACCAACACCTGACAACAACTATTCTCCTTTGAGTTACCAAAGAAACTCAGTTTGTTCTACTCATATTTCATTTTTGTAATTATTTGATGTTTCTTGATCTAATACATAGCGCCACACGTGATTGGAATGTATTTTTGTTAAATAAATGAATATGTAGAGATTTGTTTCTCTTTTGTTTCAGGAGGGGGGTGGGGTGACACGCCAGCAAAATCAAGTTAGGCATTTTCCGAATTTTTGACACGCCGAGCCCAAAAGGTTTGCCATCGCTGTTCTAGAAACACACATACAGTGGGGCAAAAAAGTATTTAGTCAGCCACCAATTGTGCAAGTTCTCCCAC